ACTGACAGGAGCCATGATAACGAGATAATCAGTGTTATTCACTTCACCAGTCAGTGCTCATAATGTTATGGCTGATCTATACTTGTTTACTCATTGTACTCCTTGAGTACTTTTACTTCAAATTGTTGCTTCTTAAGTAAGAGTTTGAATGTAGGATTTTTACTGACAAAAAAGTATTTAACTGATTGACAGATTCTGTTATTGACAGATTGTTGATTGATTAGTTAATTCCAGAAAACAAGAATCCTTACTCTTTCAGCGTACAGAGCAGGGAACAGGCATAGTGATGGGTAGGCGCCCTGCATTGACATGTTGATGTCATTGGCTGAGGCATCGATGCGAGCGACGACCACGTCCTCTCGCTCCTTCAAGGCCTCAGCTAACTCCTCCCACAGTGGAAACATAGCGCGGGACTCCTGACTGTAGGGAAGGTCTGAAATACACAGATTTTTAAGTGCAGGTAGTCAGTACAAGTGGCAACACACACTCAAGTAGAAACAAAGAAAAGCAAAAGTGGAAAGCTAAGAAAGCGTCAAGAAAACAACAACCCAGGAAGCAGGGATTTGTTGATTTGAAGGACATCTAGGGCCAGTTTGGTTGGTTGTGTTTAATTATTTGAATAGAAGTAAAGCAACAAACTGAAAACACAAGATTGACATATCATCAACTTATTGTGGCAAATGTGTTAGCAAGCTGTTCTCAAATAAAACATCCATCAGACATGGAGCAACATTATTATTAATTTGGAGTCGTGTTTCTGAGCACCTGACCTCTCCTTTTAGCTCTGTTTTGGTCTCAGTGTTAGTTACTTTGTCTGCCAACAGCTGCCTGCTAGAACAGTGTTGATGAGAAGAGTGAGAACAAACCAAAACAGTAAGGTTGTGGGTTGGAAATTCAAAACAATAAGCTGAAAGCTGCTAAAATGCTCTATAGAGCTGAGGTGACCTGCTGAGTCATGTAATAATTCTTTGTGGATTCATCACTATAAGAAACAGCAGCTTTGCACCGGTGTTTTTACATCGCGTACCACCTCAGAAAATATTCGGCTCTCCCTATTCAGCTACAGACAGTTCATGCAGGAACCAGGTTTATTCCTAATAAGAACATTATTTATTTTTGACTGTTGGAATCAGTTCAAGAACCAGAGCTAATATGGTGGAAAAAGAGATACTCGTGGTTTACGCTTCACAATCGCAGTGTTTTTGAACCATTCATTTTGCCTTTGCTTACTGTCTTACTGTCTTATTATCTTATTACGTTAAAAAAATACATTTCAGTGATTGCATAGAATTGTATTTGATATTTTGTACAGTATTTTATGTTTTTAAAATATATTTCCTATATTTCCTCTGCACAACATAACTGCTCACGTAACACCAGTGGTACACGTACAATAGTTTGACAACCAGTGACCAAGACGTTACACTGTTCAGCCACATTTGGACCAGTATTAAACCGTCTTTTTACCTTCAAATTTCCCAAGTCCAAGCTTACTGGGTAGTTTTTAAAAGAAGAGAATATATACATACAGAACAGGACAAAAACAGTCTTGTTGGGGTTAAAGACGACTTTCTCCAGAGTCATTCCCACCAGCTCCTTCACCGGCTGTTTGTCCCATCCTTCAGGTATCGGCTCACTCTGCAGCTTAGGCTGTCAAATTAACATGCAAACAAACACATTCATTAATTACATCAGGACAAGCTGTTTCTCCAGTTCCTGTCATGTACTCGCATACTAGATGAGAGTGAATGTTACCTTAGCTTGGCCCTGCAGGTAGGATTGGCAGAACTGTTTTATGGTGTCTACATCCAGAGTGTCAGAGGGTAGGTGATAGGTCACATGGTCTGTCAGGTTGACCAGTCGGATGAGAGGAGCCTCGAAATCCCGAACCCGGAAGTACTCCATCAACCTGCCATTACGAGGCTCATCCACGTTCACCCACACAAACAATACCTGAACACACACACATACAATGCGGAGGTGATGTTACTCCAACAGCTTGCAGGGAGATTATTTTAATGTGTGTTTGCAATGCTGCTGTTTGATATAATTTGTGTGAGTGGGTGTTTGGTTCCTACCCTCAACCTGAACGCTTCTGCAGCGCTGTTAAAGGCGGAGTAGATCTCTTTAAAGTCAGCAGAGCTTTTGTTGACAAACAGGAGTGCATGGTTTAACACAGGTGATGTTAATATCTGAGTGGCTGTCTGCAAGAGAGAGGGAGAATAACATAAACACACCACAGTATAAGGTTATGTGTGTCTAAACAGCTACTTGTATGTTTTTCATACAGAAGGAAGATGAAAGAAGACGATGCCACAAGATGTCGACTTTTATTACATTAAATGTGAAGTAGTTGTATAGGAAAGGCTGTCACAACACAATACTCCACTCAAAATCTTTTCAGTTTGAAAGACTCATTGACCTTAAGTGTTTCAGTAACGAGGAAGTGCACCAACTAGTATTATACCAATATTATATGAATGTTTTATCTTTTAACTCTGTGTGACTGTGTTGCATTATGTACAATGACATAGAGAATATAACATTTTTATTGTCACATATATAAACATACACAGTATAGTGAAATGTGTCCTCTGCATTTAACACATCCATAAGTACAAGGATGAGCGGCCAGCCAATGTTCAGCACCCGGTGTGACCAACTCCACTGACTGGAGAATTAACCTAATATCCTAAGTTTTAATGGTGAGCAGAACATACAAAGTCCACACAGAAAGGCCCTGCCCCAGCTGGGAATTGAACCCATGACTTTCTTGCTGTGAGGCTAACCACTTCCACATCGTCTTGTGTCTACATTTTTAACAAATATCTGATCAGTTTTAATGTAACACAGTGGTTTCCAACCTTTTTTCCTTCATGGACCCCTTTTCTATCACTGAGTAAATGCATGACCCCTGACAAAGTGAGTATTTTATATCATATTCAGTGCAACAATAACAGAACGGAACAACCCATAAACTGTACAATGGACCCAAATATTGAATGCAATATAACTGCAGGAAGTTTGTGTAAAACGAGCTACTGTGTACGATACTGTGTATATTGGATCAGAGATGAATTTTCCTGATATTTTTAGGAAATACAATTCTCAGTGTGTATTATATACATTTTTATATTTAATAATCATACTTAATAGGCGTATTTTTTTTACAAATACTTCTGATTGAACTCTTTGGTTGTTTTGACTGCATACAGGTGGGTTGGCCATTTATGACGTAGATTCTAAATATGAGAACAAAATCAAGTCAAGTGTTTTTAGGCCTAGCAGGAAAACCTCTTGTGTTTCATATTCACTCTAAGAGGTATTTGACCTTCAGATTTACAAATTCTTCAGTGTATTAATATAATGAAGTAACCCTTCTCAGGGAGTTTCAACATTTCCAAGCTTGGGAGAGAGTAGAGCAGTTATATGTGTGTGAAAATGTTTAATGCATCCAATACTGTACCTGTCCAGTGTACTCAGTGACTGGGTCCATCTGGTAGACGGTGATAAAAATGATCAGCTCCTCTTTGGATGTCTGAGGCATCATTTTATAAGCCTGGATGAGCTTAGACTGCAACACACATACACACACGTAAGAATGCAGTGAACTACCTTATACATTAATGCATTAATGTTACAATGCTTTAAATCCCATGTCACTGAGTCAGTACTAAGAACACACAGAGACACATACAGCCATCTGCAGAGATGCGTGTTTGTGTGTGTGTTGCATTTTCAAATACCTTTTTGAGCAGCAGTACAACATCATGTGTGAGACCATATTTGTTGATAACTTCATTGTCCTGTGTCACAACAAAGCTAACATCAGGAAGGTCGATCGCCGCAGCGTAGAACACCTGGACGTACTCGTGGTCCAGCTCCTACACATTAAAACACACACAATTTGTTATTCAGACTGTTGATTACAGTCACAACACCTGTTAGCTGTTAGCTGTAAGCTGTAAAGTATTGATTATATATTCACCTTGAAGAATCCAACTACTGTCAGTTCCTCTGAGGCCTCTGATTGGCTAAGATCAGCGATGAGGTCAGCAGCAGACCCCGCCCTCCTCTTCAGCCAGGTCAAAATGGAGGCCGAGTTCTGAGGAACTTAATCACAATCCAAACATGTTAATTGGTGAGCTTTAAAGTGCTGGTATGTGAATATTTTTAACTTGCCAGGCTAACTATTTCCCCGCCACAGCTATGCTAAGCTAAACTAATCCTTTCCAAATTCTAGTTTGGTTACGAGTTAACAGTTAAATATTGAAGCTTGGATGCTTAACCACAAATGGGAGGCTAATTAACTAAAAAAAAAAATTATTTAAGTAATCAAGAAAATATTTGAACACTGTCAGCTTTGATTACTAATTAAAACATGTAGTCAGTAACCTAATCCAAGTATCACAATATTAAAGTAACATACCTTTTGAAAAGAAAATGGAAATATTTTTAGCATCAAAAATGTGTCCTCCGCTATTTTAAAAAAAAACGACTCCCTATTTTTACTAAATGTAACTGTACTCTGTACTGTACTGTACTGTAACTAATGGATTACAGATACCTTTTTTTGGTATCCTGATTACGTAACTCAGTTATAGTTATTACATTACATTATCATCATTAGCTAGAGTCTGATTGGCCTGGTTCCTCTCCAACCAGAAGGCCAGCGCCCCCTAGAGAAATCCCATATATATTAATAACTTTACAATGTTTCATCTGTCTGGAACCAGGGCTTTAGTTCTTCATTACACCTCCATTACATTATATTGATGTAACCTATTTATAAAGAACATACTATATGTTATCTGCACGTACCGGGACAGGGTACAGGGTTGTGTTTGTCTCCAGAAAGGTACAGCCTGATCGCGGGGAGGCCTGTCGCATTGAGCTCTTTAACGAGGTCCTTCTCCTGTGTTACATCAACCACTGCCAGTTTGACCTCTGACCCCTGAAGCTCCGCAGCAGCCCCTTCGAACGCTGCCGAGACTCGATGACCTTCTCCAGACAGAGGAGCATCTACACACAAAGATACACACACACACACACACACACACACACACAGTACGTTGCTGCAGAGTGAAACAGTTACAAGCCACATTCGCCTTCTTATGGTGTAATTTTCATCCTCAGCGTATATATAAACATGTAGGTCGAGATCAAGCTGTGTGAGTTCTTTGTGTGTAACTTACAGAAGTGCACCAGCAGCTGCTTATGTTTTCTCAGTGCCCGGTTGAAATTTCCTTTCTTCAGCTGTAAAACTCCATCCTTCTCTGGGGATGATTTGTTTGCCTGTCGGTCTGGTTGTTTGTCAGCAGCAACAAACGCGCAGAGACACAAGGCCGTCGCCCCCAGCAACAACAGTGTCCTCATGACGGCTCACACACAGACTGACAAACTGGACACTGGAGCAAGCTTGACGGGAAGGTACGGAGGGAGTGGTGAAAGGAAGGGTTGATATATGTGTGTGTGTGTGTGTGTCAGTGCTGAGCTGGTAGTTGTGAATGCTTTTGTTATCTGCCGACCAGGCCCACCAGTCTGTAGCTGATTAACTTTGCTATCTGAGCCCTGCTGTATCTCTGCTATTGGCTGCTGTTCATATCAAGTGTATCACTAATATCAAAATGCCCTTTGCCTAACACTGTTAGCCTCAACAAGGTCAAAATGGAAGCACAAAAGCACTCTCTCACACACTCTCACACACACACACACACACATATGCAAAATTCACCCACTTGAACAGATGTTGGAAATAAAGAAACTACTTCACAGTAACCAAAACCATTTTTAATTCCCTATCAACATGATAGAATGATAAATAACAACATGACAACATTGTGATTAAATAAAGGAAGTTGAGTCCAACTTGGCAGGGATACAGAGTGTCACACCAAAGCAGGTGCATTAATCAGTCATTGTATTGAAGTGCATAGACTCAGCAGGACAGGCACTGCACATATCCTTCAAGCACAACCTTCACCCTGTTTTCTATATCCACAGCAGAATACATGAAGTACATATCTTGGTAAGGATTAGTTCAACATCTCGAGAAACTTATTCGCTTTCTTGCAGAAGTTTAGATGAGAGGATTGATACTGGCTTTGTCCGGTGGATATGAAGCTTTAAAGCTAAGGAACACACACATACTGGCTCTGTCCAAAGGTGACAAAGTCTGCATACCAGCATCTCTAAAGTAGGTTACCGCTCGTACAAAAATCTTGTCTCGTCAAGTCACATCATTCAGACTGTAGCAGAGTTGTACTTTATAGTGCGACAGTATATTTGTGAAAGAATTGCACAAGAATTATTAAACTGCTGGAAATGTGGCTACAAAGCCACGATCATCTGAAGAAAATTCGATTAATACAAGAAATTGTACACCATTTGTTGGTATGTTCGTTCACTTATTAACAAATGCCCAACACAAAAGGCAGTTAGGATAACTATCTTAAAAATAAACTCTTCACTGGTTGCCTGGCAACTTCATGGCGACAGTAAGACTCCAGGAATTCAATGCTAAACTAGCTGTAGCTTCACATGTATGGACAGAAACACATGAGCGTATCAAACTTATCATCTAACTCTCGGCAAGAAAGTACGTATTTCCCCAAATGTCAAACTATTTCTTTAACATACAAATGTGTTAAAAGGGCAACTTTTATTTTTTCATTATCATGTTTGTATTATATTTGTCTATTGTCTGAGTTGTTTGTTGTCTTTATATGTTTGTGTAAACCAAATCTACCTGTGGGTACAAATAAAGTAACCTTGAACCTTGAACTACTTAGAATTTTTTTTTGATGGTTATTTCACCTTTGGTAAGTAATGCAAAGGTAAATTTATGACATGGAATTAAATTTAAAAATAGATATGGAATATAATCAACTGAGAATTAATAATTTAAAGACACTATCTGTATTTAGTTTATATTAATAAGTATACACTATATAAACTAATCGCAATTCATATTATAAACCTGTTTGACTTCAGGATGACTAAACTTTACCAAAAACATCCTTATTTTAAATGTAGTCATTGTCTTTTGTACCTGTTTGTATTAAAATGTCTGGTGACAGGTTCCAATCCTGTGTTAATATTTGGATCACAGATTTTAACTTAAAGGCCTTGGACATCCACACAGGTGTTCATGTGCTCATGCTGAAGGTGAGCAGAGCTATAAACTGGAATTATATCAAGTCACCTAATAACTTACATGTACGGTGATAAAGACGTTACAGGTGCAACAAAGCTAACAGCAGAGTGATGTAAGTAGAACAGTCTTTACACGCCCACACAGTCCTGAGAAAAGGTCTAATCCGTCACAATGATTAAAGTCACCAGTGTGGGTCTACCTTGGATGTGCAGGGCCTTTAAACGAAGAATTATGCAGAAGAATAACATGCAGCATGTCACTGTCAACGTGTTTTCCAACAGGCTTTGTTCCCTCTAACAAAGAAAATCATGTCTGGCATTTGAGCCTGGACAAGTTGCTCCCTTCATCATCATAGTAAACATGAATGCTGTATCTGCATTACAAAAAGAGAAATAACAAATATTTGTTCTTTTGGTATTTAAATAGAGAAAATAAAATTGTTGGATTAATGAAAAACAAAACTATTAATTGTCCCCTGCCATCATGTTGTTCACCATAAATGTTGTCTCTTCTCCTCTGTTTAGTCTTTTGTCTGTAATGTTGTAAAGCATCCTGACGTATGCAGACGCGGGGACGGATTCTCTTCCTCCTCATAACTTTAATTAAAACCCGAACAATACATTCTTACAAAAGGTCAAAGTGCAAAACGTGTTTTTGGCTAGTTTTCTTCTGCATAATAGAAATGCTTGTGTGCTTGTTAAAAATGCCTTAATTCAGTGTTTTTCAGTGTTCATTTTACTTCTGACTACGAAACTACGTAGCAGGTTGATATTGAAACAAAATATTACAGGAAATACAAAACTTATTGTAAATTATTATTATTTCAGCTATCACTAGGTGTTTTCATTAAACATTTTGTAGTATTT